TACATTTGGACTCCAATAGTTAATGAAGTTCTATAAATATACTTGACACATTGTCCAGTTGCACACCCCGAATGTATTTATGATCATCATAATCAGGATTTTATTTTGTGAAACCATTCGTTTTGCTGGTTTTTGGAGAAGGACCTGCTGCAGCAAACAGAAAGGGGCGGGACGGACCACTGTCTCAGACATTATAGAGTTTTGGAACATGACGTCACTGCTGTAGACTGAGGGACACCAGCGCCATCTTTGGGGTCCTCTCTCTGTTAAACATAACGGACAAAAACAACAGTCTCGCAGATTTTTTTAATCCAAGTTACTTAAAATAATTTAGCTATGGTACGAACTTGCTGCGTTATTGAATGTAATGTCCGATCACACGACTGAAACGGTAAAAAGATAGAAAACGGACTTTCGTTTCACTATTTTCCTGCTTGGAAACAACGTGTGGAGGCTAAGCTAACGGAGATAACGAAAAGAAGACGAATGTCCTGGTATCAGCGGTGAGACGCTGATGTTACCTTCTCCAACATCCCCAGATACTTACAAGTTTCCTCCAGACATTTCTATTATGGTGAGTGTCTAAATTCGCTTTGTTGGTGTTGTGTCATAATTTATTTGCTATGATTTTGTCCGGATGTACTCATGTTCAGTTTCTGTTGAATTCATTTAAGTGGGTCAACCTTGTTTAGGTCGGGCTAATATTGTTTAGGTAGCGTAGTCCGAGTTTTGTCAGTGGACATCGAGGTTCTTACATTATTGTGAAGTAAACTATTTAATTTTTTTTGTGTGTGTTATCAGATTTACAGTATTAATACTGATGTGTGTTCTGATATGTCCTCTTCAAGGCAAACCGACGTGTGAAATGGATGAGCTCAATCCTGACTGGGGTCCAGCGCTGAATATGGGTCAGTGAGGTAAACGCCACAACATCGGACCGACAGGCGCGTCAATTAAAGAGGCGATACAGCAAAACCATCAACAAGTTACTGAGACTGTTTTCATTATTTACCCCAGAAGAGGTAAATAATGAAAACAGAGTAGAGGCAACAGAAGAGGAGCAAGTTGGAGAGGCTGAGGAGGAAACGCCAGGAGAGGAGCTCAGCAAGGCTGCAGACTCTGAAGAGGAACATGAACCATTTGTGTTGAAATATGTGTACAGTTTTCTCTCATTTAATAATTTAATGCATTAAACATTCATGAATCGTTTGATTCAAGCACTTCAGCTGAAGAAATTAAACACATTTTAAGTAAAAATTTGATATTTAAATATTTCAGGTAAACATACACGTAATGAAAGATTATATTTTTAAATAAATATTTTATTTGATTAAAGTAAACAATTATATAATCAGACATCTGTCAGGACACTGGGTTTTTGGGTTTGTTTTGCTTTTTATTTTATTTAGCTTCATGTTTTAATTCACTAGTTTAGCCCGTCATGGTCCTTTTGACATTATTAGAGGTATTTAGTGTAGTTGGAATTATATTATTGCTTTTCCTTGTTTGTCTGAGTCCATGTCCAGCCTTCTTTAATGACTATAGTTTAATTCTATTTTATCCTTCTAGTTCTTATTTCAGCCTCACTGCAGGGTTTCTAGTGTTTATTTCTTAATTTGATCACCGTAGGTTCAGTTATTCTCCCATGTCTGAGTCTGCATCTTTCTTTAGTAATTCTAGTTGAGTTATTTCTTTGTTTAAATCTTCTAGTTTCTCTTGCTGTGTGTTCCTTAGTTCTTATTGTTAGATCAGCCTTGTTTCTATTTAGGTTCGGTTTCCCTCATATCTTTCTCTCCTAGTTCATTAGGTTTTCTTTACTCTTACTGTCTTTTGTATTACAAGTATTTTTCAGTTCCCCGTTTCCTCCCGTTTGTGTTCCCAGCAGATCTCCTTAGTTTCCCTGTGCCACCTCCTCCCCAGCCCTCAGCCAGCTGCTGTGCCAAATTACTCACACCTGCTATCGCTCTTCTCATTTAGGCCATTGTCCACCAGTCCAACTTGTTATCCTGCTCACCACGTTGCCAGTTGTTACCGTTGTTTTCCCTCGTGTCTCCTGTTTCATTGTGTTTTGGATTTCCTTGTTTTTCCTGGATTTTGGATTTAGTTTGTTTATTTTGTTCATTAAAATAACATCCACATAAAGTATGTCTACTTCCTGCTGCGTTTGTGTCCACCGCCACATCATGACACAAACCAGATGAAAGAGCCCATCTTTAAACATTTAATGTGTAATTAAACAATAAAGGTGACAAATTTATGAAATAGATCACACTTTAAGTAAATATTTGTTGTATTTAACATATTCCAGGTAAGTGAACATGTAATGAGATAGATCCTGTCCTAGAATTTTATGCAATTAAACATTACTGGTAACAAGTGATGATCATCTGAGGTAATACAAAATATAATTTTGGTTAAAAAATAAAAAAGGGGTCAAAATGGAATAAAAATATGCCTAATCTATATAGTTTAGTAGAATAATTTCACAGATTTTGAGTCAACAGGTCACATGACCTAGAAGCTATTTAAGAAAAATACAAAATTTTGACTACAGAAATAGCTAAAATATATATAAAAAGTATTAAAATGTAATAAAGGTGAGTGTGCCTCATCTATACAGTCTAGTAGAACAATTTCACACAGATTGAGTTAATGGCACACGATTTGGAAGCTACTAAAGAAAACATTTAATATTAAAATTATTGAATATGACTTAAAATTTTAATAGAGGATAGTGTGCCTCGTGTAATAGCATGAATGACCACTTTTTTATATCAGTCGGTCACAAGACAAAGTATTTATTTACAGGAGTGTTCGGAAATTGACGGTCTCTAAGTGAAACTCCGAGCGCTTGAGGAGGGACCAGTAAAGAACAGCTGGCCGAAATTAGCGTTCATAAATCGGACCAACCTTGAGCTGAACGTCCCTTACTCCGCGGAGCGCGAATATCCAGTATCCAACTTGAAAACAACTTCACTGCGGTCGGTAACACAATGAAAACATCGGTGTTCTGACTATTTTGTTTTGGTCTGTGGACACCAAAAATGGCGCCTAGCGACGTAAACGTTATACGCTGTGACGTCAGCTCCAAAGCTCTATTGAAAACGGCGCTATTTGCTATATTATCCGTGACCTCCCGTTTTTATTTTCTTTTGAAATTTGTGATACATCTTCATCTATAGGAAGGAGTTTCTCTCTCAGCATGTATTTCAACTTCTCTCTTTTACTTTCTTCAGCGCAGCTCATAGTTTTTAGCAAATTCCGTAGCTTTCTGTGTACTTCTAAATCTGCTCCTTAGTCGCAGAGGCCTGCTACTGCCTCTAGTGGAGTGGGGTGGTAACACACCTAATAAAATTACATTAGGGTTAGGGGTTAGGTCCAATGTAGGTCAACGATTCGCTCCGATCTACAGAAACCCAGAGTTCGTGTCTGTTAGTGTCTGGACACCAAGCATATGGGGGAACAGTAACAGCTCACTGTCTGTACGGCTGGTAGGTTATATTTAATTTATTTACCTTTTTTATTTGTATTTTTTTATCATGAAAATCCCACTGAATAAACATATTTTCTGTCTGTGACTCGGCACTGAGCTAGCTGCTAACAACATTAGCACTCTGAGGACAACCATGCTAGGGCATAAAAATATATATCTTTCCTTACATATGAATGCTTGGCTTTCTAAGTAACTGTCCAATAAAACATCTGAAAATACAATTTAAACAATGCGATTGTTACCTGTTAGAGAGTGGCTGCAAACTCTGGTATTAGTTTCTGCACCTCCTGATTTTTAGATTGTTGATCCACTTTTCTCCTCTTTTGTCAGTAAGTTTTTTAAATTAATTCCCTATGACCAACTCCCTTTGAAACACGAAAATAACATTTATCTTTCTCTCTATTAGAACAGTTGGAGCAACCGTACAGGACTCAGACTTTAGGCATTTTGATGCTGAATCAACAAAAGTAAATGGGCTGAATTTAGTTCCTGCCCTCCATCCGCATTGGGTCATCTGAAACCCAGCAATACACCTGGGTGTATTGCCATGGCAACCTGAAGCTGGTAAAGCTCCTCTGAACCTTCTGACCAATCACAGACCAGATGGCACTTATTATGCAGCCACCATGCAGCACGCTGAGGTCCTACCTGAGCGGATGCCTTTGACAGGAAATGTGGCCTGGGCCAGGAAGTTGGGGTCGGAGAACATGTCCTCCTCGTTGACCACAAAGCGCAGAAAGCTGAGCTCCGGCTCGAACACACTGAACTCCACCGGCTCCGCCGGCGCTTTCCACACCGGGTTCAGGCCATTGTCACCTGCAGCCAGCGGACAGGTTAGAGACGCGCAGTAGACCACCGCCTTGGTCTCGCATCGCGTCAGACTCACGGTAGACGATGGTCTTGAACTTCTCCTCTGAGTGTCCGCACAGCTCCACCTCCACGAATGGGCTGGCAATGCTGCGGCCCGGCTTGGGCAGGTGTCTGGCAGCGATCACCTGAGGGACAAAACAACCAATCAGGATCCACTGACCATCCGACTGGAACCAATCAGGATCCAGGTGAACTCTACCTTGACTCTGATGCTGTACTTGACTTTCTTCTTCTCCTGATGCGGGTCGTAGTCGTCGGAGCGCATCATCTCAGGCTGCAGCACATAGCCGCTGTTCCCGTTCAGGCTGAAGAGGGCGCTGTTCAGCTGGGTGTATTTATCTGGCAAGACGACAATCAGCTTCAGGTTTCTAAAAAAACAAACTTCCTCAAGTGAAGCTCATCTGAGAAAGTCAGGCCCTGCAGATCTCTGAACTGATCTGAAGCTGAAAACACAAAACTCAGGATTTTAAAGAGGAAATTTATTCTACATTTCAAAGCTGCAGATCATCTACAGCTTCACCCAACGGAAAAATAAAATCAGGTCCAGTCATCGTTCTCTGGAGATGTTTTCTGACTGTAGCTGCTGTCAAGACAACTGCATCTGGTTTATTTTTATTGTTTTTGTTTGTTGTTTAGTTTAAAGTGGCAGTAGTTAGATTTTATTTAATGTAAAAAATTAAGCTTAAATGTGAGGTAATTTTATTGAATTTATGTTAAGTGTACATTCAAATGTGGAGGGGGAATTTTTGTTTTGTTCCGCGGACCATGTGTTGTCCAGGGAAGCATTGGCTGGCGCACTTAGAGCCACATGGGCATTCAAGCTGAAGAAGCTGTAAGAAATTCAGCTTTATTCCTCTGGAGTCAATGCGGCTAATGAGGTACAGTTTTGTTTATTTGTACCTTTTATTTATGTTAATACGCCATTTATTGTGAACTGATTTAGGTTTGTGTTACCTTTTTTGTAGTTCTGACGGGATTTTTTGGGGACTTTGCAAGACGTGTCCACAATAAATGGCTGTTGAAAACTAAGAACTGCGTTAAGCTTTGATTTAACTCGAGAAGAGTAACAAAGACTTGACTACCCTGACCCCTGAACCCTCTGACCCCTACATCCCACCCTAGGCCCTAGAACAGATCTGTTCTCTCCTCCTCCTCTAGGACCCGTCACCGTGGAGACGACTCGGCTGATCCGAGGGTCACCTGCCTGGTTCCATACCTGCGGTCTGGTAGTTGAGCGCCACCATATGGCACCCCACTGCCCACAGTGGGTAGGGGTCAAAGTTGGAGGACTCCACTCGTTGGTTTTTGGGGTAGATCCGACTCAGAGCTTTGCGGTTGTAGCGCAGGAAGTCCTTGGTGCGGCTCTTCCCTGGAATCTTGTTCTCCATGAAGGAGCGAACCTCCTTATAGCTGTAGCTGTCTGCAGAGAGAGAGGGGTCAGAAGGTCAGAGGGTCATAGGAGGTCAGAGGAACCTGGAGGATCTTGGACTAGACCCATTGAACAGCAGGAAAATGCTCTAGCAGCTATTTGTATATTTTCCACTACGAGCGTTAGGCCTCTGCTGACACTTTGAGGTTTGGAGTCACAGCAGTCAGGAAGTTGTCTGGCCTCCACATTGTTTCCCTTTGATCACATCCTGTTGGTTTCTCACCTTGGTAAGGCGTCAGAGCGCAGCAGCTGCTCCGTGCTGAGGGAGCCGACACAAATCTGGAGCGTTTGGTTCTGTGAGGCGTTTGGTTCTGTGAGGCGTTTGGTTCTGTGAGGCGTTTGGTTCTGTGAGGCGTTTGGTTTTGTGACGTGTTTGGTTCTGTGATCCGTTTGGTTCTGTGAGGCGTGCAGCTGATGCGAAGAGGCTCACTTACCGAAGCGGTCTTTCTCCTTGCTGCGAGGCTGGCAGTAGACCACCAGATCAGACATCTCCATGGCAACCTCCGCTTTCTTTTCCACTTCCTCCTGTTGTTTCATCTGAGTTTGGACAGAAAGAACAACCACTTCCTGTTTGCACAGTCACGCCATCAGACCACCACTGTTTGCAGCTCCAGTCTGAGACTCTCTCACGGAAACAACAAACTTTCATCTTCTTATGATTTTCTGTTTCAGTCTAAATGTCTTAGTAAAATCTTCTGCTTTATTTTTATTATTTGTCTCTTTCACTTTCATCTTCACAAATGAAACTGAAGTTTTGACACAAACTTCTTGTCTTAACACCCCTAAACCTTTGATATTTCGCTCTGAGATTTGAGCATCAGCAGACTAAATAATTGTAGGAAGCCTGCTGGCATCGGTTGGTTCTGGACTGGATGACGGACCCAGAAGCTTTTATCGTTGTGCTTCTTAGTCTTCGTATATTTTTGTGAATACCAGTACTTTGTAGAGTTGAACCAAACAAACTGATTCATGTAAGAATCCTAATCCTCATTATAGTGCTGTAGTCGAGACCAAGACCGGCGCCCCGCGCTACATGACTCAATAAAATGTGAAACATAATCAAAATTGTTTCTCAAATTGATCTGAAAGATCCACATTCCCACAAAAACAACTAAATATTAAAAACGTAGAGCTGAAATAAATTGTAATTATCAATTCAAACTCATGTCTCATGTCGCCCCCAACAAGATAACGCCCTGGAAGGTTGCTCATATGGCTGATGTCAGAAACCACCACTGCCTGCTCCATTAAACACAGCAACTATGGCAATGCACTAACGGTAAGCAACATAAACTATGAACACTGACCAAGGAGCAACAAGTAACCAATCAGAAGATCAGTTACTGGTGTCGCTCTGTCTCCTCCTGCATGAAACCAGGTGACCAAAATAATCAAAGAGCAATGAGCATGCGCTCTGCTAGTGTATTTATTTGATGATTAAATATGTATATTTTTCATAAAATAGAACAGTAATAGCTACTGCAGTGTGCGCAGAGCATAGCAAAAACAAAGAACGGCTATCAGTGAGGCTCCAGTCCAGGGGTGTCAAACTCCAGTCCTCAAGGGCCGCTGTCCTGCAACTTTTAGATGTGCCTCTGCTGCACCACACCTGAAAAGAATAATTAGGTCATTAGCAAGGCTCAGGAGAACCGATCTACACAGGGAGGAGGTAATTAAGCCATTTCATTCCACTGTTTTTTACCTGTGGCACATCTAAACACTGCAGGACAGCGGCCCTTGAGGACTGGAGTTTGACACCCCTGTTCCAGTCCCATCTATCTTTATAAAGAACCGTTCAGAAGAATCGGATCGTTCTTGAACGTCACATCACCAAATAGCAGACTTTGGTCACAGCGTGCGACAGTGCTGTGACCATGAGAGATGAAGAGTTTCCCTAGTGCTTTGTTTTCTGTCCTGGTGAAGTTCTGGCCGTGTGAAGGAAGAACTGCAGCGGTTGTTGCTGCAGCTGCAGCGTCCTGAGCATCTGCAGCCCGATTCATGGCAATGTCCTCACCTCCTGCTCCCGGTGGTACTGCTTGCTCATCTCCCTCTGGGTCACGTCCCAGGCCACCTGGTACCACTCGAACAGCTCCTCCAGCGACCCAGCGGCCAGGTCAAACTGCACGCTGTCCTGCTCCTTGTGCTGCAGCGTCAGGACATGCGGCTTCCCGTATTTACCGTTCTTCACTGCAGACAGACAGACATACAGACTGCTGACCTGTTGGACAGGAAGTTTGCCTCCGTCTGAGGGCATGAATACTTTGCATACCGTTATTAGGCGAAGGTCACCAAAACATTCAACTAAATAAAGTCGATTTTATTCACTGAGCGGATGACCTTCTGACTGAACTCCATGTAGAATCCTTCTGCCTTCACGTTTCATCAGAAGCTAAACAAAGTCAAAGGTCACTTACTGTTCTGGATGTTGTACATGGAGATCTCCACAATTCCCTTACAGAGTTCCCCCAGAGGGTTGTCTTCCATCTCCTGTGGGCCACATCACAACGTGTTCAGTGATTATGGGCATGGCGCCTCACAGGCGACGGCGACATGCATGGCGCCTCTGAGGCGCCATGACTCAGAGGCGACGGCGACATGGCGCCTCAGAGGCGACGGCGACATGGCGCCTCAGAGGCCACATGGCGCCTCTGAGGCCGTCGCCTCTGAGGTGCCATGTCGCCGTCGCCTCTGAGTCATGGCGCCTCAGAGGCGACAGCCATATGGCGCCTCAGAGGCGAAGCCATATGGCACCTCAGAGGCAACGGCCACATGGCGCCTCAGAGTCTGACCTGAGCTTTGGCGTCAGTCTGTGCTGAGTTGGACACTTCCTCCACATAGTTGGCAGGGAAGAAGAGCTGCAGTCGTCCTCCGTAGTCGCCTTTCCACCTGGAGGAACGAGAGCAACGTGACTGAACTGCTGACTGAACCGGACCGGGTCACAGGCCCGTGGGGGACGGGGCCCTGGTGGGGAGGTTGGAGCTCACCATCCGTCCACTTCCTTGGATACGTTATGAATCAGTGCTCCTTTAGTGAAGCTCAGCTCATCGGGTCGCTTGGCCTGGTAGCTGTACAAAGCCCGGACTGTATTCTGGGGCTGAAACACAAAAGCTGATTCATCAACCGCTGCATTGAAAAGCCACAGCGAAAAATCAAAAAAGGTGTTTACCCACCTGCGACGGCCCAATGTCATTGGGCTTCACGTACGTCTCCATGTATATGGAAGAGCAGTTCTCGTTCTGTGAGTGAGCCATAAGAACCTGTTAGTATTCACAGTTCCTGAAGCGCTCTGCTCTCACTCGCTCCAGTCTCTCTCACTCGCCCAGAAACTCACTGCGCTGAAGCGCTCCACCAGCTCCGGCGTCACTGGGTAACGCAACTTGATCTTGCGATACAGAGGCTTCTTCTTGAAGTAGTTCACCAGCTCCACCAGAGACTCGAACTCCGTGGTGGTTCCCAGCAGGTAGACGCTGCCCTCCTTCTGGATCCGGCAGTGCTTCACCTTCCCATCGCCTCTGCAGGACGGAGAACAGTTAGTCTGAACCAGAGGGCCGACCTGCTACATGCCCTCTGATTTGGTCTTTTAAAACGTTTCTCCTCCTTTTTTAGCTGCAGATATCCATTAGCCACAGTAGCAAGGTGTTTATACCTCTAAAGTTGAAATAATACTGAAGCTGTGACAGGAGTCAAGAGGAGAGGCTCTCTGAAAACGTAGTTCAGGTTGGTTGTTGTACCTGAAGGTAATGGCGAAGGAGTCTGGTTCTCCTTCCCTCTGTCGGATCAGGAATGCTCCGTCTCTGGGGATCCTGAGCAGGTAATCCTCCGCTTGGCCTCTGCTCAGGTTGCTGTAGAACCATCTGTGGAGCACAGAACCAGCTGTCACCGCTCCACTCACAGTTACTGCTGAAGACCTTTCCACAGAGACGTGGGACAGGACGTCCAGGCCTGATCCTGGCTGAAGGTCTTAAAGAGACATAACGCAGATCTGGTTTCTGGTTCAGACCCTTCCCAGAATCAGAACCAGTAAAATAAGGAATATTTCAAACGCTGCCTCGTTTTCCTGGAATAATTCACCTCGGTTACCATGGAGACGTTCAAACTCCACGCAAGACAAATGTCTGACTTCCTGCTGCTGTGATCGTTCATAACCAATCGTTCTGTTTTATGCTGAAGAACGTTGCTGTTAACAAACATACAGCATTTTTTTACTGTGAACCACAGATTTGGTCCCCTCCCCCACCTGTTGCTGCAACCATGACCAGTTCAGATTCCTCTGTTACCAACATTTATCTGCTGATCAGGAAGCCATTTCAACAAACACTGCTGCTCTGAAATTAAACTGTTTTTCAAACCAAATCAGGTTCCACGCCTCATTTTCATATCTGCAGCTAACTTCTGTTTACAGGGAGACGTTGTGAGCTCACAGCTGGATCTTTGTTTAAATAAAACCAGAACAACCAGCCACACCACCGGCCACAACTCCAACTGGGCCAACTGGGACTAAACGGAATCAAATAGATATCGCTCTCGGATCATAGAAATACCAAACTGATGCTGTTAATCTTATTTAGTTGTAATAAGGGTCAATATTAAGACAAAG